GGGGGGGGGGGTTTGAGGGATTGCCCCCAGCGCGACGGAAGGAGAGGGCAAGACGAGGCAGTGGGCGGAAGAAACAGACGCGCGGTGTCGCAGGTGTCAATCACGAACACCTTTCAGAACATGAGGTTGGCGAACAAAGAGAGGACCAGACAACGGTGGCCTCTGGAAAGATAAAGTCTGGGCGATGATCAAGGGGCTCTGTTTCCAAACGGTGAGCCCCGGTGCAGCCGATCTGATCAACAGTCGTGGGTTTTGGATCCCCGACCCGCGCTGATTCAAGGCCAAGGTGTCCTCGATTTGCGATTATGCTTGAAATCGAAGACGCAGTCCAAAGGGTCTGGGCGGAACCCACGCTTGCGACAACCCGGGCGGCAGCCTAATCCTCGACTATTCCACATCGGGCAGGGGCTGGGGGTTCGTTCGCCGTGCTGGGGTGCAGCCGCCTGCTTACTGTGCTCCCAGGGCGCTGCTACTAAATTTACCCTGATTGAGACCCAGTGTAGCTCTGCGCCACGGTTGCGATTGAACCAAGCGCGTTGGGGCTAACGGCTTCCGACCTCGCCGCAGCGAGTGCGAACCCAAGCTCTAATGGCATTTCATCTCTCATGCTGGAGCGGCTAGGCTATTTCCATGTTCCGTTCTATTGCACGCCACCAACACGGCGGCAATATGTTCAGAGGTGCCAAGGAATCCCGCGTCTCAACCAGCATGCAAACTATCCTGAGATCGAACTGTCATGGATGGAGGTTTAACCCCACATGCCAGCACAGGCAGTTGAACACACCGAACCGCGCGGTTGGAGCCACCAGCCCACCAGCCACAACCGTATCTGGTGGGTCCAGCGAATTGACTGGCATACCTAGCTCCAGTTTCGTCCAACACTCCGAATGAGGGCAAAAAAAAAAATTCCATCCTGACCCATCAAATCAAAATCTCATAGTAGCTAAGACGCTGGTGCAGGCTTTGACGTACCAACTGCCAACCAGATTCGGATAACGCCGCAAAAATGGCCTCTCCGGCAAAAACCTACATTGTCGAGCACCTGGACCCGGAGCTTGGCCCGTGGTCGGAGTTGGAGTACCTCGCCATCGCCGAAGAGACGCACCGTGCCGGCGGCAGCTTCTTGCTGTCATCGCTGCCCCCCGCTTTCTCCCCTCCTGCGGCCCTTCAAGCCATCCCGGCCTTCAAGGCCGAGAACAGAGGGGTCGAGGAGCTTTACGCTCAGGACAAGACACGAGTGTGTCTGCTCGACCCCTCCGCCCCCAAGGACCTCAGCCCAGAGGACGGTGAAAAGTTCGACGTATTTCTTTTCGGCGGCATCTTGGGTAAGTGACCCAAAATGCCATGCGTCCTGTTAAAACAACGCAAGGGGGTGATGGGTGCTGACTTTTGCAGGTGATGATCCTCCAAGGGGTATGACGTCCTTACCCCTGTCAAAGCGGCGCCGAGGTCCAGCCTCGCGTAGTCGCAGCCGTGAGCCCCAGTGGACCTGATGCTTCGACTGTAGATAGGACGTCTGAGCTTCGAAAGAAGGGTTTCGAGGGCAGGAGGCTCGGGTCGAAGCAAATGACGACCGACACGGCAGTTCGTGTGACCAGAATGGTTGTTGAGGAGAAGCGTAAGACCATTAAGCCAGAACAGGTGCTTTTTCGTTCCGCATGGAAATGCGGCTGGCTGACGGCGAGTTGCCTCTTGGATGGATCAAGTACCTCTCGAGGATATCCCCTATCTTGACTTCCCCGAATTGAAGTTCAACGAGCACGAAAGCACCGAGATGCCCTTTCGTTACGTCAAGGGTGATGACGGAAAGCCGATCATGCCAAAGGTAGGCAGCTGTTTCCTTGTTCAGCATGTTATACGAATTATCTATGGTCGAGTTGCCACGAGCTAACTCGCGCGGTAGGGCATGGTTGAGCTCATCGGCAAGGATGCCGACAAGGCAATCGATGACCTGTTTTGATTGTTCTTTATGGTATATTCTATATTCTTCGCCGCTGTTGGATGGCATGGGTGGACGTTGGGAAACATTGGACGAACTACTGGCCTCTCAAGGGCTGCCCTGACGCCGGCGGGAGTTCGAACGTGGGCGCCTGAGGGGCCATAGCGATGCTAGCGCTTATCTTACCGCAAGCTTTGAGCCCGTGACCCCACCCTTCCAAGGTTCCTCGGTCCTTGATAGGTACCTCCTTTCCCCCGCAAGCCCATATCGAATGTCAAAAACTCGTGACAGCTTCAACTACAGCTTCTCTGGCCAGGCCTATACCCTCCACTCTACACCCAAAACCCATAAAGCTTTAGACCTCACCAGTCCAGAACATGGCAAACTTGGGCTCTGCACGCCCACCGCGTCTCCAGCTCAATCCACCCCTGCTGAACTCGGCTACTCCATGGGCTACAAGCCTGAAGGATCTCCAGAAACTGTACAGCTGTCCCCACACCGGGGCTGTGACTACGAGAACATCTCTTATTAAAGGGTTCGATCACAACCCCGAGGTACATCAGTATGCGCTGTACGACACTGTCGCCGTGCCAGCAGCCCTCCCCAGAGGCACTAGCAACGCGAGCTTCAACTCGCTAGGCTACAGCCCGCACACGCTCGCGGAGTACCTAGCATGGATCAAAACGGCGGTGTCGACGGCGCCGGCCCCGCGGCCGGGAAAGGCCTTCATAGTCTCCATCACCGGGACGCCGCGAGAGGTGGCCGAGTGCTATAGCATGGTGGCCGCGGCGCAGCTGGACATCGCGGCGCCGCTGGCCGTGGAGCTGAACCTTTCATGCCCCAACATCCCCGACAAGCCACCTCCAGCCTACGACGGCCCGTCCATCCTGGAGTACATCGAGTGGATCTTGGAGCCGCGGCAGCAGGACCTGCCGCGGGTGGCGCTGGGGATCAAGACACCGCCATACACGTACTCGACGCAATACAGCACTCTTGTCAGCGCGCTCATCGCGAGCGCCAGCCGGTCGCCGGACGGGGTCTGCCCCGTGAGCTTCATCACCTCAACCAACACTCTCGGCTCGTGTCTGATGCTCTCTTCGATTGGGAGCGGCGGCGGCGGCGGCGGCGACGGCGGTAGTGGGCAAAACCACCAGCATCACGCGGCCGTACTACCCCTCAGTGGCATTGGCGGCATGGCGGGCACGCCGCTGCACCCACTCTCGCTGGGCAATGTGGCCACGATCCGACGGATGCTGGACGAGCACCCGGACATGCTCGGCCACGTGCAGGTCGTGGGCGTGGGGGGCGTCTGCGACTCTGGCGGCTACAGGCGCATGAGGTCCGTCGGCGCCGACGCCGTCGCCGTCGGGACGGGGCTGGGGGTCAAGGGGATCAAGGTCTTTGAGGAGATAGCCAGGGACGTGGAGGGAGCCTGGTGAGGGAGAGAGGCATAAAGGAGAGTAGGTAGGAGGCCAGGGAAAAGAAGCCGGCATGCTCTTGCTGTACCGCGGGTTTTTCCTCCCTGGCTGGGTCCGTTTTTCGGATGACAATTCTCCCATCTAGGTACACAGGTTGATAGCTTCCCTCCCCCGCGCGTGACGGGCTCGGTCACTCCAGGCAAAACGGCCTTCTCGGGTCTCAGTTCCGGGCCGACCGAGGCTTGTTGGGCTCGCTTGGCTCAGGAGGAGGGGGGCGCCACATTTTTTTTTTCTCTCCCATGTCACAAGTTCTTCAGTCACATGCGGTTGGGGCCATTGTACGGCGGTTGCGCGCCATGCCGTGCTGTGCAAGCGAATCTCCTCTCTGTCTCTCTCCCCTCGGCTCATTACGTCCGACGATGCATCGCAGGCAGGCAGACGCCAGCACCTCGCTTTAAGCGAACCAGGATACAGCCATGCGATCGCCCCGATTCTGTATCGTACCTGGCCGGAGCCTCCCTCCCCTCCCCTCCCTCCCTCCATCCTCTCTGTGATCCGGGCTTCGATACCAAACATTTGCGTGTTCTGGTAGGCTTTTTTTTCTTGTCCTGTTTGGGGCGGAGGGTTTCGGCCAGTTTGGATGTTGCCGAAGATCACAGCCGCACGCACGAGCCGGGCCGTGGTTCAGGTCTAGGTCCACGAAGGCCACTTCGGATAGCTCCGGTTTCTGGAAACGGACAGCTACTTCCGACGGCTATCAAGCCGACTGGACGGGTGACCCGGCATGGATATTTTTTATTTTTTCGTCTACGTTTCGAATTATGCGTCCAGGGCTTGTTTCCTCTGTTGCAGGCCAGCATGTCTTCTCCTTTTTTTTTTCTAGCCCTCTTCGGTCACGCCGATCGTCGGGAAAGGGGAAGTGTCCTCTGTTTCCGACTGTTGCTGTTTTCTTTACACTGCCTTCCCTCCCTCCCACGATGCCGGGGTGCTGATGAACTACGCCCCGCGAAACCAGGATGGTGGAGGAGGGACGCTCATAGGCTTGTTTCGGTGCACACGATGGTCCGAGTTTGAGCCCATGGTGTGCTGTCCGTGTGGGAGGAGCAGGAGGAGGAGGAGAGCTGAGGCAGCAGCCGTCAAACTGTCAGAAGGCAGCGCATATAATCTTTCCACCAATCTCTTGCATGCTGAGGCAGAGAGGGACGAGGTGGAAGAAGGAATGTTTCAAACACAAGGAAGCGCCACCGCCGTCCCGTCCGGCCCAAGGCATTAGCCAGGAATTATGCCTGCAACGTCGCACGCCAATGGGGACACGGGCATACCCATTACGGATGTCGTTAATATTGGGACACCCCCACAGCGCGCCCACACCAAAGCCGTGTGCCGTTTTATTCTCCGAGCATGGGATGGGAGGAGCTGGCGGCGGCGGAGGACGACGTACTACATCATCCACTATCAGACGGCCGGCACAACTCTCACGTGTGGCATTTGATGCAATGGGGGAGGGACTGCGTTTGGCAAATGGCCGCCTGCGGGAGCGTACCATCGCTTGCGTCTTTTGTCACACACTCTCTCTCTCTCTCTCTCTCTCTCTCT